AATAAAAGAGATTTTTTAAAAATCTTGCTACAAAAGAAAAAAAATCAAAAAGAGGATTAAGTACTTTTACTACTGGGCCAAAGGTTAGAATCATTGATAATAAAGTACTTTCACACATCACTTCATTTAATCTTCAAAACTCCTGAGAAATGGACATTGTCTCCTACCATATAAATGAAGAAACACTCAAACTGGGCAATACATTTTATGATAACCAGTCACAATTCATCTTCGTGGATGTTTCCAGACTTTACTTTGGGGTGATTTCTATTAACATCTGCCCTAATAACAGTTTTCTAAGGGTGCTACCCAGCTGGTTTCATCTCCTGGGGGCCCTCCTGGTGCTCTGCAGTGCAGGGTCTGGATGGTCCCAGGGACTTCTCAGTACCCTGCATTCTAGCACTCAGCACCCACATCAAGATGGCTTATGCTCCCGCTCACTAGCCTGTGAGGGTCTGGAAGAATGGGACTCTCTTTTTTCTGTGATCTCTGGACCCCAGCACACTGCCTGGCAAATAGTGGTCATCACAAAAGAGGATGTTGTCCCCAGGCTCCCGCTCTAGGCCAGATCTGGCTTGGTGCAGACTATGGAGAACACAGATGACTCAGGTATGGGTCCTAGGAATCTTCTGTCCCAAGTGCAGTGGGGGCACCAAGGGAAAAGAGTGCCCATGTTAGCCCCTAGGCTCTTTCTATGGGACGGAGAGGTAGGAGGCCCATTCTCAGTCCCTGTTCCATTGCAGACCAGACTTGCTGATCTGACCACAAGGGAGTGCCTGGGAACCCCTTGCAGGTTCTCCTTCAAATAAACTGTATTTTCTTCCTGATATTCATTGTTTAATTAGGATGTAGAGGAGGAATGAGTCTCTGGATTGAATGGGAGTTCTGTCCAGTCCTTGGGGCATACTTTGTTGTCATTTCTCCCCGTGTCTTGCATTTTCTCTGCAGCAATAGGCTGCCTTTGTACTTGGGCTCAAGCGCTCTTTGGAGCCAGGATTCCTTGTCACCTACACTGCAGCTGTTCAACCTAACCCCCTCCACCTCTTCCTCCTCAGGATTTTCATAGCATTTGTCTCAGAGGCATTCTTTGTGGCATATTCATTAGAAAAAAAGTGAAGTGGAAACTGCTTTTGAAGAGAAGATTCAAGAGCTCGGAGTGGGAATCCAAGACGGAGTAGTGCATCTCCCTGGGTGACCCTCAGACTTAGAGGTGGGCGTCACTCAAAGACCCTGCCGTGTTTAACCTGTTGGTGCCTGGTGGCACCTAGCCTGGCCCCGTGTGCCCGTTGTCAGGGGTCTCTCTAGATGAGTGCCCTGGTGTAGCTGGACACTGACCACCAGACCATGCCTGGGAGGCCAGGTGAGGGACTCTGCCGAGGGACCTGACTGCGTTTCTGTTGTCTCTTCCTCCTTGAAGGGAAGAAGTACAAGATGGGAAGCTCACTGATCACGTGGACGCCAAGGACTGTGGTCTTTGTGAGGATGATGGAGACAACAAAAGAAAAGCCTTGAAAGGACTGTCCTGCAGAATCGCATCAAAAAGTGAGTTTCAATCTGATGCAAAACTACAATTGATCTTCCTCCACTCTGTCCTCACAACAGCCAGTGTAATGTTTCCAGAAGGCAGATCTGACCCTCAGTGGCTTCCCATTGTTCAAGGATAAACATGAGGCCCCTCACCATGGCCTCATCCCTGCACCTGGCTCCTCTCAGCATCCCAGCCTCTCTCCCTTCCCACTGACCCACCACGCCTGCTGCTCCTCAGCTCCGCGGGCCTCTCAGCCCCTCAACTCCCCTGCTCCATCCACCCCAGGGCCTCTGTAGATGCTGCTTTCTCCTCAGGTTCATTCTCACCTCACTTTGAGGAGCTGAGGTCCCTCATCCTTCAGGCCTCTGCTCAGGCAGCCCTTCCTCAGAAAAGCCCCTCGTGTCCCCGAGAAGGTCAGGTGCTCTGTGGTCCCCCAGCTCTTCTTCCCTCCTCTCTGCACATGCCAGCAGGACATTCATCGCTGAGTGACTGTTTCGATCACTATCTGTCTTCCTTGCTGACTCCACATGGGTAGGTACGAAGCCCACATGGGTTAGGCCATGTCTTTTGGGTCTTCATGGTATCTCCAGGGTCTAACAGTGTCCCTGGGACATAGAGGCCCTTAACAACTATTCATTTACTTGCTTCATTAATTCTCAATGAATAAAATTGGCTGAGTACACCCAAACCAGTCTGCATCTCAGTTTGGGTTCTAGAAGGGAAATGTCCTCCCCAGTGAGTTCCAGCGGAAGGGAAGTGTCCTCCCCGGTGAATTTCAGCGGAAGGGAAGTGTCCTCCCCGGTGAGCTCCAGTGGAAGGGAAGTGTCCTCCCCGGTGAGCTCCAGTGGAAGGGAAGTGTCCTCCCCGGTGAGCTCCAGCGGAAGGGAAGTGTCCTCCCCGGTGAGCTCCAGCGGAAGGGAAATGCACCCACAGGTAAATTTTACTCATTGGTCCCAGTTCTGTCCTGATGTTTTTTCATGAGAGAACTCAGTCAGCATTTGAGAGCTGCTATGACATCTTACCTCTCAAAACGGGTCTCCTTCTGGTAGAGTGTGTGACTCCAGCACCCTGGTTCCTCGTGTGACCTGCATTTGAGCACCTGTGATTATTGTGATTCTCTTGCATGGGTGTTTCCTCATTATCAAGACTCTCCTGAAAGTCAAGGCTGGGGTTCTTAAAAAGGCTGTCAGGAGTTTTTTTTTGTTTGTTCGTGTTTGTTTTTTTTTTTTTTTTTAATTTTTGTAGAGATGAGGTTTCACTATGTTGCCCAGGCTAGTCTCAAACTTCTTGGGCTTAAGTGATCCTCCCACCTCTGCCTGCTGGAAGGAATTACAGGTGTGAACAGAGGCACCCTACAATGAGCTCAGCCTGAGGTTACAGCCCAGACTGCAGGAGTGGTGTGAGAGTGCAGCCCCTAAGGGTGACTGTTCTCCCCTAGCCTTCTAGAAGCATCTTCTTTGAGTTCAGTGCCTCCAGTGGTGGGGGAGCTCTGTGGGTGTCAGCAGCAGGATGGATGAGTGCTTTTTTTCCTTTCAAGAAGTGTTTGGTTACTGTGTGC